TTGTGCACTACAAAGACCACCACGTTCAAGGCAGACCATCTCATCCAACTATCTCACCCAACAGCGAAGGAAAGTGGGGACAAGGGTTGAAATGACTTCCCAAGTCCACATTAAGTTATTTGCCAAGAACAAACTGGCACAGATCCTAGGAGATTAGAAGCAATAAGTGGGTAACTGAGATGGGGTGTGGCTGTTTTACTTAAGGCAGTGACAAATGCCAGGTGACAATGAAGATGAAGCATAAAGACAAGAGTTTATCACATAATAATAAGGGATATTAGGAACAAAACAGAATCTGAGCCCTTATGAAAAGTCTGACAAATTTGTTATTCTCCATTAAAAGTAATAAAATTACATGCTATGTCTTACGTAGCTTCCATCAAGAATGCTTAAGATAAACATAAAGCTCTCATTCAGAGACACGCTCCACATTTGGGAATGTAATTCCTATGGGATGTCTTCGTCCTCAACAATACTAGATAGGTGTCACATATGTACACATACTTGCTTTTTCAGAGTTACATGACATGCACGTATCTCACAGACAATAAGACTCAATACTCTAAATTCTGAGGGCTAAAGGGCCGTAACACAAATGACAACTTATCTAAATTACCTGAAATAAAAATGACTGACTGCAAATGAGTCCCCGAGAACATGCAGTACTGAAGCATCACTAATTACCACTCCCAAGGCCACCAATCTATCAGACAGTGCCTTATCAGTTCCCATGATGCTGTGGGAGTCCAAAGATGGGCAAGACAGGTAATAAGAATTTACTACCCCAGTGTGAAATCACAAGAATGTTAGCCTTAACATAATCTCCATCCTAAGACTAGAAGAGTCTTCCCCGCCCTATCCTCACTTTAAAGCTCACCTTTAACAAAATAACAAAGAAGAGGTTACTCCTCTTTGGTGGTGAGATCCCACTTTGTTTTCTTTAAATTCAGTATCATGTACCTCCCTTCCCCCAATCACCCTTATAATTAACAGGATTTCTGAAGAGTCTTCCCAGGTGAACTCATCCAGGTGAAGAGGTTTCAGTCTTCACCTGTTCCTTCTCAGGATGGTATGCTACACTACACCCCAGGTAGCCTCGCTGGGGCTGTTTCTGTCTTTACATTCTGTGGGACAATTTTAACTACTTTTACCTCAGCCAGTTTCTTTTTTTCACACTCACTTCAAGCATGATGTAGACGAAAGAACAGGAGCTTTGGAGCCAGAAACTTTGGGTTGAAGCCCAGTTCCAACACCCACATCGAGCTATGTGGCTGTGAACAAGTTATTGCTTCTTCCTGAGCTTTATCCCTTCCAGTGTGAAAGGAGTTCAGTACTAGGACAAACAAGATGATGCACAGATGTGCCTGGCACGTAGTAGGTGTTCAGTGAAGGTCTTTCCCTTCCTCTTCTGTCCCTGTCTCCCCACTTGTGTCTGTTATCTGGAACTTCTCTCTCTTCAGAATGTTTTCTCGAGTCTCTCTGCACTGACCTCTCCCCATATGCTTCCTCTTGGCAATTATCCTCTACACCTGAATCATGAAGGGTGTTTGAAAAATCTGTGTCAGGAAACGCAGTTACTCAGCACTGCCAAATTGTGGTTCTTGAAATAGAAATAACACTGAAAAACAAGCCTAAGCTATAGAGGGCTGTCTGAAGATTGAGGGGTCCCTGGACTCTACCATCCATTTAGTCCCCTTTCACCCTAGTAGAAAGGACTGCCAACAAAAACACAGGATGCTGCTAATACTTCATTTACAATAAACCACCAAGACTTTTCTAGTCCCAGGTATTGCAATTCAGAGAAAGACAATAAAGATTGTAATGGTCAGAGAAAGGCCCCTACCCTCTGGTACCACCTGTGAGAGGATTTAGTTCTCTGAGAATAGAAAACTCCCCCTGGAGCCATAATTCAGTGTAGTCTGGAGTTCTAAGGCTAAAATATGCCTTAGATGTTTTATAACTCCATGAAGTACCATTGGTTACTGGAGAAGTAAAGGGGTCTAAGACCATCATGGCCCAGGCATTCTCAATGCTGGTGTAAAATCTGCCCACCAAATGCCGGATACAAGAGTTTCATGTTTATTTTATTTATTTTTTTTTTTGTTCTTTTTGTTTCTCCCATTAATTTTTCACATATAATTTCATTCGATAAGCATTTATTTTATATTTCCCATAATCCTAAGAATGTTAGGAAAGAGGTGCTAAGGCAACCGTATACAAATATAAGTAAGCTCTGAATTTACTTTGATTCGAATTTTCAGTTTTAAAAGAAAGGAGGATGGTTAAATGACACATGAAACTGCACATATGTTCATGCACACGCTGAAATATGATGTATTGTCAAGATTATTGCAATAACCTCCTGATTAGACTCCCTACTTCCACCCAGCCATTCTCTTTTCAACCCGGCAATCAGAATGATCCTTCTAAAAAATAAGTCTGCTATACCACTTTCCTGTTCAAAATCCTCCTGTGGTTCCCCATCTCCCTCGAGTAAGAGTTAAAGTCCGCCCAGCAGCCTGCTACCTGCTCTCTGTACCCTCCACCTCCTTCCGCTCTCCCCCTAACTTACTCCCAGCCAGCCACACTGGCCTCTGCCCCAACATTCTTGCTCAGGATATCCCTTTGTTCATCCCTCCTCCTCCTGCACGTCTTTGCTCTAAAGCAACGTCTCCCTCATGTCTTCTCTGACCACACTTTTTAAAATCATAGTACCCATTCCTTAACCTGCCCTCTCCCCCTTCCCTGCCTCCATCTACAAACTATATCTGCTACTTAGTTGTATATTTTATGTCTCTCCTCATGAGATTGTAGGGCAGAAATTTTGATATTCCATTTACTACAGCCTCCCCATCATAGAGAACACAGCACATAGTAGGTACTCCATAAATATATTTGTTGAATATTTAATAAGCATAAGATAATAATGAGTTATATGGAAGAAAGATTTGGTAAACCGCTTCTGTAAAGAATACAGTAAAAAAATTCCTACGGAGACATAGCCACACAGGGCTAGAGCTGAAAGTGAAGCAGCCTGTTGATACAAAGTGAGGGGAAATGCACAAGAACACAGATACTTGCAGATAATACCCATTTGACCTAGCCTCAATGGCTTGATAATCACAACCCGACTAGAGGAAGATAAAAACAAAAAACTTTGATAAAGGAAATGAGAGTAAATTGCAACAATTTGATGAACTTTACCTATACTCATGGAGGTAGTAGCTCAAAATACCAACAGAGATGGAAGGAGTCTTCACATCAGGTATTAAAGCTATCCTCTCTGTATACAGGGTAGACAGGAATGGGTAACTTAACATTGCTACCTAAAATGAGGGGGCAATAAAGGCACAGAGTGACTGGCTTACAAGTTTTCAAGAGGGAGTTTCGTTAAGACTGTGAAGGGAACGATAGAGTCCCCACTGAATAGCTTTCATCTTGTCTAGATAGGTCTGATGAAAAGAAATGGGGATAAGAGTCTGATGATTCAACAGTAATTGTTATAATGACTAATTGTGACTGTCACAACTGTAAAGGTAGATGTTTTGTAACAAAATCACGGGAGTAGTTAATCTTACAGTCCAGAAACAGAGGTCCATCAAGGGAGAAGAGCACAAGCAGAATGTGGGATCCTATCCAGAGAAGCAGGGACACCAGAGATGGAGGCAGAGATGAGGGCAAGGAGAGAGGGAGCAGCTGAGGACTCTAGACTAATGGAAAGAGAGGGACTGAGAGCTGGTGGCCAGAAGGCAGGTTTGCAGAATGTGCCCTTTGGTGGTTTAAATTTTTATATATTCCTGAGTGTTAAAAAAAAAAAGTGCTAAAATGAATAGAGAGAAATACTGTTAACTGAGAGAGAGAGAGAGAGAGAGAGAAAATTCCCATGGACCAGTTCTAGACCTGGAGTAGCCATGAACTGGGGCTCAATTCAAGGGCCGCTAATAACAACATACCAGACTAAAATGTATTTACTGAAAGCCAAATACATAAATGAATGTGGGATTTCAGTTTCAAATTTGAAAAACAACTTTTTCTTTGAAGCCTTTTACTTGTTTTTTCCTCTCCAAATGAGAAAATTATCAAGAGCCAGAAGGTGTTATCATTTTCCTACTTCTGGGATTAATAGTGAAAACTGCAGAACAGAGCATTTTCACTACTGGCATTCTTTTCAAGTCATACTGAGGCCCTGGGCAGTCGAAATGGTGAATGCGCTCAGCTAGTAACTGAAAGGTTGGAAGTTGGAGTCTACCCAGAAGCCTTCAGGAAAAAGGCCTGGTGATCCACTTCCAAAAATCAGTCACTGGAAACCCAGTGGGAAACAAGACCAGGAAACACGAGCTGATGTCTCCCTTTCTGCTGTCCTCAGCCTCCGTATATTTACGTTTACCAGCTCTGTGGTTCATGGAGACACTAGAAGGGCCCATTTTCCGTGGAAAACAACTGTTTAAGTATCGTGATTTTATATTTTGGATCTGGATTTGCTGCACGTTTCTTTATACAAGGACAGTAACTGCTCAAGAAATAATGCTTTAGTTTCTTCAAGAATCATAAGAAGATGGGCATACTACAGAATGCAACTCTTTGAAAACTAGATCAAGCTGTTACACTCAGATACTCTCTGGGACAGGTTTGTAAATAAGCTTATTACACAGATAAGAAGGGGAAAATCCTAGAGAACACAAGTCTATGCTGATGCATATGGGATCAACAAGAGCTGGAGCTGATTTGACAGCAGTTAGCAGTTAGGGTTGTTTTCTCAATTGCTGTCTGAGGTTCCAGCCTTTTTCAGTGCTTCCCAAGTCTCACCCTTAGGCTAAGAACACGCAAGGAAGTCCAGATTAGAGACGTGCTCCCCATAAACGCCAACACGATGGGCATTCAGTAAATGTTTGTTGACTGGCAAATTTCCCATCTGCCACTCTTTTAGCAAAGGTTTAACTGCACGACCTTTAAATGTAAGATGTGTCAGAATCCAAAATGCCAGCCAGAATTCTCATTACCTCTCAAGAGAGTCTTGGATGAGCTGTTGCAAGTCCACCTCCTGCTTCCTCAGGGTTCCAAATGAAGACTGACTCTCCACGAGACCTTTGCCTCCAACATTCAGCTTGATCTTTCCAATCGCTGTCTCAATGGTCCCAGTCACGTGGTTTTCAAACTTGCCCTCATATTTCACAAAATCCGACTCCACCACCACTGAAACAAACAAGACATGCAGAGGAATACAAAATGACAACCTGCTTTCCCAAGACAATAAGGCTTGTGTTCAAAAAGGGAAAGCTGGCAGCTAAGAGGGGCGCACCTGTCAAAAAGAAAATCAGACTAACTGCCCACCCCTCACCTCCACCTGATCTCTGTGAGGTGACTGAGATCACTGAACACACTGGTGGCCAGGGGCTCATTGGTATTCTTTTGCTTTATTTATTTTAAAGTTCAATATATAGATTCCATCTTACATGGGTTCCAGGTTTCACTGACTTGGTTGTGTAGTTATGACATTGAAGCAGAACGAGGACAGCAGCCGCTGCCCCGTGAGCCACGTTACTCAGCATCAGGTAGGTCTGCCCTTGGCCCTGCCTGGGGAACCTTCTCTTTCCACCCACCAGTCTTTTGGCACATTTCCCTGACTTTCATTACCATCTCCAAACACACAAATTCCTTTCCATATTTACTTTTTTTCATCTATGACTTCTGCCTAGTCATCAACTCCTTATGCAATTCCTTTATCTTTCAGATAAGGTCTGTGGACCTGCCCACCCTCCATCCCTCCCTCCAACACCATCGTGCAGTACACAAACTCTCCCCATCCTTCTTTCTTGTCTTCCCAGCCATTAAGGAAGATGCCACCTCTCCACCTGGAAACTGCCATCCTCTTCTGCTTCACTGAACCCCAAAGACAACGTACTGATGATCTCATACCAGACCTGCAGCTATTCCCATGGCTCCAGGTTTTCTACCATTCAAATTTTTAATCCATGTGAAGTTGTCATAAAGTAGTCTTAGTCATCATCCTTCAGTACAGAGATAAGAACTTCACATTGGGACTTTTTCATTTCTTTGACCCATGACTCTCTTTGGATGCTGGTCATACTTCACCTCAGATTCAAATCCACTCGATGCCTGAAAGGCTTTTTCCCATTCACTTAGTTCCTTAAATCCCCTCTACTCCTACATTTCTTTCAGTCCAAGAAAATCAGGATGAATGAGAGCTACTTATTACCATCTTTGCAATTTACAAAGCAGAGAGTCATCTCCCCAATAGCATCCAAAAAAGGGGAGGCTTTAAAAATACCTGAACTCAAAATATTTTCCAAGTAGCCTCCCATGCACAACAAACACTTTGGGAAATGCTTTTGGAAGCAGGATAAAGCATTTGTCAAGAGTACAAGATTACATCCACGCCATGAGATAGACTGGCTACCGCAATGACTTAGACATACCAAAGACTAAGACACGGCTCAGGACCAGGCAACTTTCATTCTGTTACACATAGGCTGCCATGCATCCAAGTTGACTTGAAGGCAAGTAACAACAGTAAGGTTACTAAATACAACCAGAAGGATCCCCAGAAGCAAGGATGGTGAGACTTTGGCTCACTTACTTTGGACATGTTGTAAAGTCCAGTCACTTTCCAATATGTCCAAAGAAAAGGACATCAGATTTGGTAAAAATCAATGAAATTGAGAGAACCCCTTAATGCGAGAGATTGGCACAATGCCCACAATAATGAACTCAAACCTCAGAGATCATAAAGGCAGCAGAGCATTGGGAAACTTGTCATTCTGTTATCTACGTATAAGGTCACCCTGAGTAGGAACAGACTCAATGGCAACCAACAATAACTAGTGTCACTAGCTGTGAGACCTTGGGTCTCATCCGTCTCCCTGAACCTCAGGTTTCTCATGTAATTTGGGGGTATTTATTAGCACCAGAAGGAGCTCTGGTAGTGTAGTGGTTACAAATCAGGATGCGAACCTCAAGGTCAGTAGTTCAAAACTACCAGCTATTCTTCAAGAGAAAGATGAGGCTTTCTGCTCCCATAAAAATTTACAGCCTCAGAAACCCTGTACAGGGTCGCTATGAGTCGGAACTGACTCCACGACACATAACAACAACAACCTGGTGAAGAATATTGTAAGTTGATATATACAAAGAATGAGCTGCAGAGCCTAGCACATAAATCTAGCCCCTGGATTTAGGCCAGGATGGCATTATTACTGGACAAGTAGGACAGATCAAGTTCAATAATAAAGTGCTGGCTAGAAAGAAAGTCTACCTTCCGAACACAGTCCTGGTTGCATCGAACCTCTTACCATCCCAGGACTGACCCCATAGAGAGTGGGGACAATAAAGAGCTTGGCTGCATAGTCTGAAAAGCCAGCCTAGACACACCTCCAAAAAGGATGTCATTTGTGCACACTTTTGCATCAAGTCATCAACTGCTACGGTGGAACACAGTGACCGAGACCACCACCATCTATGCCTAGGATTGCCAACGGTCAAGCAACACCTCCAAACTCCACAGCTCTGGGCAACACAAACACACTGTGGTGTTGTGGGTGCAAAAAAAAAGAATGAAGCTGAAGTGTCTACTCAGTAGACGAAAAGAGGATGCCATGCTGTCTTATCACAGACTCAACATCAAGAAGCTACAGGATTTGGGGAGAATGTTGGCCTCTGATGATTGGAACGGCTGGAGTTCCTCCTTCTTTCTGCAGTGACAGCAGCTGGCCTCCCTCATCCAACGCAAGCCTTCATGATCTTTCAGGGCACCTTAAAACAGGCACTTTGGTAGCAGACCAACAAGACGTTTTAATACTGAAGGGTCCCATAGTGTATTTAGTGAATAGTTTACTCTTGCCCTTCTTGTGTTAAGTCATTTCACCACTCAACAGCAGTTCTACCAGAAAAAAATACAGGAAAAAAGGGCATAAAATTAATAGGAATTCACCTGGCCATTGCCTGGCAACTCTGAGAGTGAGCCTGGTTCAAGAGAACACAGGAAGAACTGCAAGAGAGTTGGGGCTTCTCTCGAAACTCAAAGTATCACCCCAAACTCTTTTCCCCATTAACACAAGAGATGATGATGCCCGAATGACACACCTAAAGACCTACAAGAGGAGTCAGGCACCAGTCAGTCCTGTCATTAAAAAGTCTTCCAAAAAGTAATGCAACCATGAGGACCAAAAGTCTTCCAAAAATTTCCAACCTCTGGCCCAGTACTTCTATCTCCAGAAATATATGCAGAGACAGCTGCTACGGGCAAAAAATACAAAGGCAATGTTCACTGCAGCTTTTGTTTATTAAGCCTTCAACTGAAATGATTAAACAAATTACAGTGTGTACACACAATAAAATACGGTATTTGTCTATAAATTAATCTTTAAGACTATTTAAACCTATAGAGGAAAGCTTACATAAGTTTAAAAAATAAATGAATATATAAAATTATACATAGTTAAGTTTCCAATTTTGTTTTCAAATATGAGATGCATAGGAGGAAAAAAACCAAAAACTAAACTCTAAGCAATAGTGGGAATTAACACTTACAGTAGAATTTTGTTGATTTTTATTTCCTTCATTATCTCTCTCCACATTTGACAAATGCTCTATTCTAAGAGTCTAGCTCCAGTTTTGCCATTTGACTGCTATTATAGATTGAATGTGTCATCTCCCTCACCCCCACCCCCAAAAAATGTGTTGTAAATCCTAAGCCATGTGCCTATAGAGGGGAGAATATTGGCTCCATACAATAAGCATTGGACTGCTAACCACAAGGTCCACAGTTCAAGCCCACCAGCCATCCCAAGGGAGAAAGATGAGACTTTCTTCTGCTCCCACAAAGATTCAAAAGCCTCAGAAACCCTATACAGGGTCGTCATGTGTCAGAACCAACTCACAAGCACTTAACAACAACCATACCACACCTATAGAGTCCTGGTGTGGCACTGTAGGACAAGCATTGGGCTGCTAAGAAACCCTAAATAGGGTCACTATGAGTTGGAACTGACAGATTGGCACTTAGCAACCACCACCATGTACCTACAGATGTTAAGAGTTTGGGAATAGAATTCTGTCTGTTACATCAATGAGGCCACATCAGTATAGGGTATATCTTAAACCTACCTAACCATTTTTGAGACATAAAAGGAGATCAGGCACACAAGTAAGCAAGCACACATGAGAAAAAGATAGACACCACTTGAAGGTCCCCAAGGAACTCTGAGAAGAACACTGAAAGAGCTAAGACCTGGGTTTTCCCTCAGAGCAGACACAGGGAACCTTCTCTTGGAGCCGGTGCCCTAAACTCAAACTTTTATGTCATAAATTATGAGATAATAACTGTTCATTAAAGCCACACACTTGTATTCCTGCTATCACTTCACTAAGAAACTAAGATAACAGCTTACAGCTTCTAAACCCTACCACTTCCCTTTCTCCTGCTCCACATCTGGACAAGCTGATAAGAAAGCTCAGTTATTCCATAGGGGCTGGAAGGTCATCCAAAGTATGCAAACCTGCCTATACATTGGAATCTTCACCCTAGTCCCAACCCCTAAACCCAAACCTAAAGCCACTGCCATCAAGTCAGTGCTGGCTCATAACAACCTTCAAAAACGTTTCTGAAAGTATCTATCAGTATAGGAGCAGCCAGCCTCATCTTTGTCCCAAGGAGCGTCTGGTGTGTCTGCACTGCTGACTTTGCTGTTAGCATCCCAAAGCTAATCCACATCGTCACCAGGGCTCCATAGTCCCACCCCCTAGTACAATAAAAACCCCAAGCCTCACTGTTTCTAGCCATTTGGGGACCAGCTTAGGGGCCTGCCTCGCACTCCTCAGAATGTCTCATTATGTGAGTTAAGTAAACCTTTTCATACTTTTTGGTATGCATTTGGCATCACCAACCTCAACATCTAAAGCAAATTTGGGGTTGGGGATCCATCTCACCTTTGTGGAATGCCTACGTCTAAAATGAACATGTCTTACTCTTACTCCAAAGACTGAAGTTATTATTTTAAAAAGAGAAAGCTATATTTTTCTATGTCAGGTAAGTCTGCGGCATTTTGTTGTTTTCAAGAAAGCACATATTTTAATGTAACAGTCTAGGAAATGGGAGACTTCATCATAACAACTCTAGATTCAAAACAATATAAGTCTAGAAAAATAACCATCTTCAATTTTGGAACTAACTGTAAATATACCAGAAGAAACATACCTGGACTCAGAAATTGGTCTTTTGTAAGTATGTCTCCAAGGGTGAGAGACAAAAATTGGTACTTGGGTCTCTGCCAGCACCAGAATCTCTTCTGTTTGATCACGAGACTTAGAAGCTGTAACTTATCGGAGTCATTCAAGTTCGGTACTGCAATCAGGTTACCACCAGAATCAACTTCTTTGAGAAAATTCCTTGTTGCCTTGGCAAACATTTTGATGACTCCAAATTTACCTGCAAATATAAGGTTCACCCAAAGTCAAATATGAAGTGAACATATTGAGGCTTTTATTCTAAAATTACCTCCTTTCTCCCTAGTATCAATCAGTTCACAGTGAAACAATACAAAATACCTTATCCCTAGGAGAGTCTCCAGTTTGAGTTCAGTTGGTGACAAAGAAATCAACTTAAGATACTGGAAGAGAATACGTGTACCAGTCAAGATAAGCTAGGTTCCACTTCAGAATCAAATGTCCCCCAAATCTTGGTGGCTTATAAAAACAAAGGTTTATGTGTGGTTTATACGATATATCAGTATAGAGGGAGAAGAGAGCTTTGTTCTCCAAAATGATTCAGGGATTCAGACTGATGGGGCAGTCACAATCTTGAGACCTGGTGGTCATCATCTAACAGGAAAGAGTTGTAGAAGGTCTCATACCATTAATTAGATAGATGCTCTAGCCCCAAAGTGACACATGTCACGTCTACTAGCAACTTATCAGAGCCACTCCCATGGCTTCAGCCAACTGAAATGTCAGAAAATACAACCCTGCCACGCATCTGGGACATCGAGCCGGTAACAGCTATGGAACACTATGACCATCTCAATGTGTGTGTTAGTGATGAGCGCTTCTTTGAAGAGTCAGTCACGCTTTGTCTCTGTGCTGTGTGATTTCTCCTATTCAGAAATGAAACATAACTAGCTACTAGTTTTCAAGGAGAAAATAAGTACAATCATATTTCAGATAGAAGATAAAAGAACATACATTGAATTACAGCAGTACTATATTCAGTATAAGTACAGACTGTTCAGTTAATGGTGCTAAAACAAGTAGCTAAACCTTGGAAAAAATTAAGTCAGATTTCCAGCTCATACCATACACATAAGCAAATTCTCAACAGATCAGAAGAAAACATGAACCCACAAAATGAAGAAAAAATGTGGCTATCTATATCATTACGGAACAAGGAAGGTCTTTAGAAATATGATCTAAAGAGTAGAAAACAAATAAAAAGCAAATTATAAACTTCTTGTTGTTGTGTGGCGTCCTGTCAGTTCCAACTCATAGTGACACTATATAGGGTTTCCAAGAGCAGCTGGTGGGTTTGAACTGCCAACCTTGTGGTTGACAGTCCAGTGCTGATCCTACAGTGCCACACCAGGGCTCTTGAAGTCTTAGCTATACAGAAATTAATAATATGAATTTTTTTATATAAATAAAGCATTATAAAATACAAATGGCAAACTCAGAAAATACCTGTAATATTTCTGACACAGTGTTAGGATCCTAAACAACAACAAAAACAAACAAACAAACATAAATTTTTAAAAATACTGTAAGAGATAAATACCCATTTGACTTAGCTTGGATGGCTAGCTGACCAGAACCCAACCAGAAAAAGAAGGCTGATACTGTGAGAAAGCATGAACTGCTACAGTTTGATGAACTAGACCTTCGCTTATGGATGCAGTTCTCAAAATTCCAACTGAAATGGAAGGATTCTTCCTATCAAGGATCAAACTTGTTTCCCCAGTGCACTGGATTGATAGGGACAGGTGACTTAAGACACTATGAAAAATGGAGTGCTATAAAGGCACAAAGGGACTGGCGTACAAGCTTTCATGAGTGTGCTTAGCTTCAAAATGAGGAGGGTGAGGTAGAATCCCCACTGAATAGTTTCCCTCTTTTCCAGATGGATCTGGTGAAAGGGGCTGAAGATGAAGGTGATTGAATTTTATAGTTCAATTGTGAGTATTTGTTATCAAAATTAATTGCAATTGTCACAACTGTAATGGTAGAAGATGTGTAACTAGAAGTGGGGAATTCCCGTAGTTCATCTTTCATTTCAGGAACAGAGGATCTCAGGACCATCAAGATGGAAGAGCATGAGTGGAACGTGAGCTCCTAACCAGAAAAGCAGCAACAGCAGAGGTGATGATGGTACAGAGAGAGAGCCGCTGAGGACGCTAGGCCCATGGACTGAGAAAAAGGCTGTGTGCCTGCAGGCAGGAGGCTGACTTGCAAAATGTGCCCTTTGGACATTCAAGTGAATATATACCTCAAATGTTTTTGCTTTGTTCATTTGGGAAAAATAGGATGCAAAAGGAAACCACTGGGAGGAAAAGCAGGGTAACTGTTGTTACAGGGAGGAGAATGTAATCAATGAAATTAAACAAAACGTATGATTGGTTAAAAGTGAAAAAACAAACCAAAAAAACACTGCAACAGAAACATGGACAAAGGTTATAAACAAGCAATAGAGACATGAGCAAAGGTTATAAACAAACAATTCCAGCACACAGAAATTGTATTTAACTATAAGGAACCCTGGTGGCATAGTGGGCTACGGGTTATACTGCTAACCTCACAGTCAGTGGTTCAAACCCACCAACTGTTCCCAGGGAGATGATGAGGCTCTCTGCTCCCATCATAAAGATTTGCAGCTCTGGAAACCTATGGAGCAATTCCACTCTGTCCCACAGGGGGTGATGAGTCAGAATTGACACAATGGCAGAGGCTGGTTAAATAAATGCATACACATATATGTTGTTGTTAAGTACCGTGTAGTCCGTTCTGACTCATAGTGACCCTGCACAGGGTTTCCAAGGCTGTAAATCTTTACGAGAGCAGAATGCTTCATCTTTCTCCCATGGAACCTCTGGTAGTTTCAAACTGTTGACCTTGAGGTTGGCAGCCTGACTTGTAACCACTACGCTAACAGAGCTGCTATATACCCACATAGATATGTTTGTGTGTATATATGTGTAGATGTGTAACTGTATGTATATGTTTACATGTTGTTGTTGTTGTTAGGTGCCACTGAGTCAGCTCTGACTCACCCTGTCTGCTATTACGGGGACTGGCTGGCGGGTTTGAACCGTAGACCGCATGGCTCAAACTGACCTTGTGGTGCCTCACTAGGAATCCATATATTTACATACATGATGGCAAGTAAAAAGAGTTTTGCTGTATAATCATAGAAATCTTTATTAAACAAAAATGTGAAACTATTCTTTCTTTATACATCCTCCATCTAGGTCCGTACACATCTAAAGGTGGTATTTCTAGTTCACGAACCCTTCCCTGATGAATTCCGTACTCTTCAATTTACACCATGTCAAAATGGCAGTTTTGGCATTCTCAACGTACTCAAATTGTGTTCCTTTTAAATGTTCTTTGAGTTTGGGGAAGAAAAAGATGCCTGAAGGGTCAAGATCAGGGCTCTAGGGTGAATGGGATAAGATTTCCTAACAAAATTCTTACAGGACAGCCCTTGCTACTTTCAAAGAATGAGCAGGTGCATTGTTGAAATGGAAAAAAAATTTCTCAACACAACTTGCCTAGCCTTTTTCTCACTGGTGCAGTCTTTCATTTTCTTTAAACTTCTTCATAATGAGCCTCCATGATTCTCCTGTGTCTTAGAGGAAATCTACCAGGATTATCCCTTGGGAATCCCAAAAAATAGTTGCCATAACCTTCTGACCTGACCTCTCTGCCTTGACTTTGTCTTTGAGGTCTTCCTGACATAAAATGCTTGATCAGGTGAAAACTGTTGTTTTATATAAAGCACTAATTCCCGTAAGCTTGTCACAAAGCTTCAACGATTCGGGAAGATGTCCCCTTAAGTTTTGCTTAAATTTTTGATATTAGCCCTAACCTCATAATATTTTTTTTCCCACAGCATAAAAAGCATCAAGTATCATTTTTTTAAGGTAAAGAAAACTAAAGTCCTCACCACTGGATCAATAAACAACATTCTTATCAACGGAGAAAAGATTGAAGTTGTCAAGGACTTCATTCTGCTTGGATCAACCATCAACACTCATAGAAAGCAGTCAAGAAATCAAACGACATATTGCATTAGGCAAATCTGCTGCACAAGACCTTTTTAAAGTGTTGAAGAGCAAAGATGTCAGCTTAAGGACTAAGGTGCACCTGACCCAAGCCATGGTATTTTCAATAACCTCATATGCATGCAAAAGCTTTACAGTGAATAAGGAAGACCACAGAAGAATTGATGCTTTTGAGTTGTAAGAGAGTTGAGGTGTTGGAGGAGAATATTGAAAGTGCCATGGGCTGCCAAAAGAACCAACAGATCCATTTTGGAAGAAGAGCATCCAGAGTGCTCCTTGGAGGCCAGGATGGCCAAACTTCGTCTCTCATACTTCGGGAATATTGTCAGGAGGGGACCAGTCACTGGAGAAGGATATCTTGTTTGGTAAGGTGAAGGGTCAGAGAAAAAGAGGAAGACTCCCAGCAAGATGGACTAGCAATATGGCAGCATCAGTGGGGTCAAGCATGGCAACAATAGTGAGGTTGGCTCAGCACTGGGCAGTGTTTTGTTCTGTTGTGCACAGATTCTGTTGGACATAGGGTCAGTACCAACTCAATGGCACCTAACAACAACAACAAAGGAGACTATGCCTAATTACTGAGAGAACTTGTCTGTAGCCATCCACTAATCACAGAGACATGTTTCAACAGATTGTGTTTGAAATAAGCACCAGCATATAAGAAGCTCCAGTAGTGTAGTGGTTATGAATCAGGCTGCTAATCTCACGGTCAGCAGTTCGAAACTACTAGCTGTTCCGTGGGAGAAAGATGAGGCTTTCTGCTCCTGTAAAGATTTACAGCCTGGGAAACCCTAATGCAGGGTCGCTATGAGTTGGAACCGGCTCCAAGGCACATAACAACAATAACAATATATGAACTAGAACCCTAGCAGCAATACTGTTGACTTACCCTAATACCCTCATGGAGTCCTGGTGTGCTGCTGTGGGCAAATGCGCTTGACTGCAAAGTCTGTTTGAACCACAAGATCGGCAGCGCAAGCTCACAAACTACTCCTTGGGAACCCTGTAGAGGGTCACTATGGGTCAGAACTGACTCCACAGCACTCAACAACAGTAACAATACCCTCATGGAATCCGGGTGTGGCGCTGTGGGTTAATGTGTTGAACTGCAAAATCAGTTTGAACCCCAACATTGACAG